TCCCTGGTACCAAATAAACAAAACAAAACAAAAAAATACTGGGACAGAATTTTACGTGCTATTTGATTATCTAAATCAAAAGTCATCATAACAAATTGCTTTGTATAATTGTCACAAACAACAGCGAGGGCAAATTCTTAAACTACTGATTATTAAGAGAAATCATTACTGTAATGATGAAAATATTCTACATACAGAAATAAAGCTGTCTTTGCAAACTCTTCAAGATAAGAAAGGAAAAGAAAAAGCTGGTCATTTTGCATTTGACCTCATTCTAAGTATGGGTTAGTAAACTGGCGGGGGTGGGTGGCATTCATGTGTAGTTTTTCCAATTTCTAAGAGCAAATTATTCATACACAGTTGATTTCAAGCTACCAATATGATTTCACTAAATGTACAGTTTAAAAGAAGTGCACACACCTGCTTCTCCTAAGTTGTAGGAACTGAGTGTAGCACATTGAGGATTCTCACAGCAACTTTATAAGTAGAGTTACTATCAGACATTATTATTTACTCATGCTCAATGTGACTGGAAAATTATAGCAGTTGAATTGGAATTGGAATAATCAGTTCTATCTTGGATTTTCATAGTCTTTCTGCTACATTCCATTGTGATGGAAAAATACATACAGTAGTCTCTTCTTAGTTGAGGGTTTGCTTTCCATTATTTCAGTTACCCATGACCAAGTATTATCCCAAAAGTTTGATATGGAAAATTCCAGAAAAAAACAAATTATGTTTTTTTTTTATTTTTATTTTTTTGTGTGTTTACTGATGATAAAAGCCAGTGATCGTGCATGCTAAGCAATGTTCTGCTATTGAGCTACATTCTCAATTCTTATTTGTTTATTTTTGCTTTGAGACACGTTCTCACTAAGTTTCCCAGGCTCATTTTGAACTTGTGAAACTCTTGCTTTAGACTTTGTTGTTCCTGGGATTACAAGAGTATACCACCATGGTTGGATAGTTCATAAGATTTAAGTAACTTTTATCACATTTACATTATTATAATGTTTTGATTGATTATTATTGCTGATATTCTCTTGTTATGCCTAACTTATAAATTAAAATGCATCATGGTTGTGTATGTAAAGGAGAAAATATAATACCCACATACAGGTTCGTTACTAGCTACAACTCTAGGAGTTCATTGGAAGTTATGTAATACATCCCCAGTGACAAGAAAGATTACTATTTATTGGGAACTTTTCTTGTGCCAGAGACACACTGCCCTGATAATGGGATGAGAAAAGAAATTATAAAACCTTTGATTTGGTTCTATGTTGCTTTTGTATTCACCCACAAGGAAGTGTGGTTTTATTTTAGGACTTCTAAGAGAGGTAAGATACAAAGACATTTACCAAATTTAAAAACGTAATGTAGTAGAAAGGGAATTTCATTTATCTGATGCATATGTCCTTCTGTGTGTGTGTGTGTGTGTGTGTGTGTGTGTGTGTGTGTGTGTATGTTTGTGTGTGTACATATTATGGTATTGCTTTAAAAAGTTGGAAACAGAATCATATCCATAATATTCTTGAAACAGGGAAGAATTAAATGTAATTATATCCCCCTTCTCTACCATTCTATTGAGGAAATTTGAGACCATTCGGCATTTCTAATTTGTCTTGGGAAGAATTTCATAATGCCGGAGGATAATATATAAAACAACAAAGGAATGGGCCCACTCTCAAATCCCACCCAAGGTGATCAAAGGTGTTTTATTTTATTTTGATTGATTTCTCATCTGCTCATATTCTCTGTTTAATTGGAAGAAATTGGCAAAGAGTGCTTAGTGTCTAAACCTATTAGATTCAATTTCAAATCGTGTTTACCAAACTCAGATGGGTACTCACACTCATAGTCTTGAAAAAAATCCAGGTAAGACTTACCTCTTTTAATTAGGTTATGTGGAATAAGTAGTCGTAAAATTGTGCCAAAGTACATTCTTTCAAGCATTTATGACATTGCCTGGTAGATGCTTAAAAAGCTTTTAATGCCTCAGTGGCCTGAAAGAATGAAAGCATCTCTCCAAGTAGCTAATTTACCACCTGCCTGATTTGTTGTCCATGACACTTAAAAAGTCAGTTGAAATAGAGCTAAATTGCTATGTTGCTTGCAGTCTCTGGTCAAACTGATTCTATCCCTGGGCTATGAGCATTGTGGAGAGAGAAAGTTAGAGGCTCACAGAACTGAAGCCGTGAAAATTATGGCACCCCAAAATGCCTGCTGGACTATGTGGATTCTGAATAGAAATTCTAGGAAATTGCATTATGGACAATGAATTGGAGGCAGATGATGGGGAGAGCACTTTTTTGTCGGTCTTCATTTTCTGGTACTGTGCATCTGACTGACCCTTAGTAACAAGGTCACCAGGAACCAGGAGCTACTCCCTTAGGGTCAGTAAGAATGGATGAAAGAGCCATCACCTCCTCTCCTAGAGCCCTTGAGGAGCTCTGTTAAAACCCCTTGACTATTCATGTGGGTTGAATAGCCACTGCTTCAGCAGCAGAGAATGATTAAAGTGTATATAAACGTAGACTCTGAAGTCAGAGTGTCTGGGTTCAAACTCCATCTGAGTAACCTTGGACAAGTCTCTGTGCCTAAGAGCTGTCAGCTGGGAAATGGGACTAGTAATGTATCCCAGGCAGAGCCTGTATGTAGTAGTATACTGACAACTGTATGCTGTGCAGATGCTCAGTACCTCATCCAGTCTGAGCTCCTGAATTAGAGCTGTAATAGATGTTGTTAGTGTTCCAGTAATATCTCCTGACTTCCTTCTTTCATGCAGAAGATTACCATGGCATGTACGAGCCTAAAGACTTTCTGGTTGCAAGTTGGCCTGCATGAAGAATAGGCCAGAGGTTCCTTGGAGTTAATGCTTTGGGAACAAGCTCCAAGTCAGAGACATAGAGGATATTATTGGTGGGTAAATACACAACTTCCTTAGCCTTCTGCTGAGATGAGTCTGGGTATGTCCTGTGCTGTCTCCTGAAGTGCCCCAGTGGGATGCAACTCCAGTTGCTCACAGTGATAATTGGCTTGATAACGTATGCTTTACTGGCTTATTTTCTTTCTTTTTTTCCCCCTCATTACTTCACTCCCTGACTCATTTCACAGGATCACCTTTCAACTAACTACTCGCATATTAACTTTTTTTGTTTTTCAGAGTCAATTGCTAGGGGAATCCAAATCAAGACTGATTTCAACATTTTTTTGGAGTGTTGTAAATGATATTGAATTGGATGTACTATTTCTAAAAGGTCATCATGATAATGTATTTTCTTTAGAATCTGTAATCTATATTATATATAAAATATAATATAATATATATAGTTGAAGTAGGGCAAAGTATAAGACAAAAATAGAGGACCCAAGCTGCTGCTGACTTATTGGATAAGGTGATTTTTAATAAATTCTGTTTTTATTGCATGGCACTGTATATATCATTATAGTAAATAAAAGGGTACCCATACATGATTCTGCAAAGTCTCCTTTGATGATATTATTAGCAGTCCTCTCATTAGGGTTTATTTTGCTCTTCAAAATTTTCATGATGACATGGATTCTTCATTTTTAATTCTGCACCATAATGAATTTATTAATATTAAACTGGGAATTAACTTGGCAATATTATTATTACCTGCCTTCTGTTATAGAATTGTGATTAACATTTCAATTTCAACTTTTCAACAACCTTCTCTTCCTTACATTTTGGCAACTACCTGATGACTTAAGCACTGGTTTGGATGCCTTGTAGCAAACACAGCAACGCATTTTGGACCCATGTGTTCCAGAACCTGATTTTTAGCTCCAAGCTGCAAGCTACATGAGACATTTTGGTTAATAATGTTAAGAAAATTTTCCCATTATACAAACAATTCATGCACTGTTCAACTAATGCTTATGCCAAGTAAGAGTTTACCAAGCTACTAAGACACATTCAGATTCAGACATTTACAGCTATTTTCCTGTGACTCAAAAATAATGAAAAAGAAATGAATATTCATAAAAAGTAAAAATTGAATTGCTTGTTGTATGAGCTGTTTCATAACAACTGTTAAATTCAACTACTCACCTTTTGCAAAGTTAAAAAAGCAATGCATATTTATTTGGAAAATTTTACAAAACAGTAGTAAAAATTAATGAAGGAGAATGACCTATATTCCTACCATCAAGAGTAAATAACAATATTTAAGTGTATTTCCTTCCCATCTTCTGTTTCTTACCATGTTGATTATATAATGTAATTAATGTGTATTTTACCATAACCTATATCTGGGCCTCTGTCTGAGTTTATTCAGTAGATAAGTCTCCTTGCCAACTGTGTTCCTGTAGGCTGCCACTGGCTCTTTGGCGTCCGTAGTACATCAAAGCCACCTCTCTTTTTTAACTCTGGTTTCCTGCCTCTGGCCCAACTCTAGTTTCTGATCTCTCAGGATACTTTCCCCAAAGCAGCGAAGTGCCTGAGTTTTGTCACCTTGGTGCTAGCACAGACTTTAGACAGACTGATTCTCTCATCCATGATTCTGTGATTGCATTTGTTGCTTGGAGTCAGTGGGATATGTTTTTTTCTCCTTTCTTTCCCCCCAGACAGTTTGTGAAGTGTGTTAATGAGGAAAAGGCAAAGTCCCTGTGGGTTTCTGCCAAATTCTACTCTTCCTCTTAAAATTGGATAACTAGCTTTATTAACATATTATTTCATTTTTAAAAAGTCACTAATATACTAAGGTGACTAGTGGGGTAGAATTTAGAAATGCAACCTTTTCTTTTTCAGTAGTTGAGCTAGCAAGTCACATTAGTACAAAACTTGTTTTCTAATAGAAAAACACCCTGCCTTATTCTGTAATTGCTTGAGCAGCCGGTCTCAGTATGTACAGGACATTCCTGCCTGAGCAAAGTCTCCTCTTCTTACTCACCAAATTTGTGTGAATATTACGAAGAAATTTAGATCCGTGAGGGTAGAGAGACTTAAGACTCCAACTCTTTCTCCTTAGTCTTTCTCACTAGAGAATTTTGGAGGAGACCACAGTGACAGTGGTCCTGCCAAGGACCCGTGACCAGAAAAGAGGAACTGGTAACAGACGGGGATTCAGCAAAAGAAAGGAAACTGAGCTCCAGCAAGATTCCTGCAAGTGTCGATGGTAAGTTTGGCCCTGGCAGACCCTGGCCTGAGCCCTCATGCATGTGGCCCCAGATCTAGCCTGCCTGGTACTGGGCCCATGATGAGGCAGCAATAGGATGGTTGACCAACCAGAACCATGGTAACTGTGCTGTGGCCTCAGGACCTGAATGCACATGCGCTTCACTGTGCCCTTGTCTGATGTCAGCAGACCATGCAGTGGCAGAGCCCACAGTGCTCTGCATTTTTTATGGCTTTCTTCTCTTGAAGAACCATTCAAATGTGGCCTACATGGTTGTGATTGGGGGCACATGGGTTACTGGGTTTCCTGCCACTGTAGGCAGGTGGGGGTTTAGATGATTCATTAGAGTAATAAAAATATATGACTGTGTTTATACCCCAGGGCTGGCAAAGCAGGTTAGTATTACTCAAGCATTCTTCATGTTATTGCAAATTTTAATGCCTGCCTAGTGTACTGAGAGAATTAACTATATTTTATTTTCTCATTTCTGCATTATTGGACATTTAAGTCTTTTGCATGAGATATTTCTGACAGAACCTCGTATTGGTTTTACCAGTATTAGTGTAATAGTTGTATGAATATATTTCCTGATATTAAAACATGCAACTGTAACATAAAACAAATCATTTGCAACATAAACATTATCCTTTGGAACACAGTAAAGTTAGCTTCTCTCTTTTCTTGCATTCCAGAAGTGCTGAGAAATTTTGCTAAGGATGAGGATGTTAGGTAGAGGAGAGTCAGAGAAACCAAAGTGCAGACCACACATGCTACTCCTGGAGTTCTGAGGGCCTCTGGATGAGGAAGAGGGTCAAAGTTAGAGCTGTCTGCTGGAGGGAGGCTATATATCCACAGTACAAGATGCGATATCTCTCCCTAGCTGGTCTCTAATACCACGCAGAATATGGCACATAGTAAGTGCTTGCTATGTATGTTTTTATTCTTTGGTTGAATATTTTCACTAAACACTCGCAGGCCTCATTATAAGCCTATCTAGGCATTCCAGAATTATAGGATCAGATTCACACAAACTTATCATGTAATTTAAACAATGTTGAGAAAATTACTTAATGACATTTATTTTTATTGATATAATTATACATACTTTGGGGTATATGTGATAATTGGATTCATATATACAATATGTAATGATCAAATCAGGGTTACTAACATTCCATTTCCTTATGTGTTTACCATTTCTTTGTTCTAGGAAATTTCAAATTCAGCTCTTCTATCTCTTTATAAAATGCATAATACATTTTTGCAAACTATGGTCACCCTGCTGTGGTATAGAATATTAGAACTTACTTATCCTGTGAACTGTAGTTTGGGACTTTCTGCTTGTATGCCCACTGTCCTCCTTTTTTCCTGTACTTCTTAACTTCTAGCAACCACTATTCTATTCTCTGTGCTATAAAATCAACATTTTAGCTTATACATATGAGTGAGAAACATAGTGTTTGTCTTTCTTTTCCTGGTTTACTTCACTTGACAGAATGTTCACTAGTTCCATCCATGTTGCTGCTAATGACAGGGTTTCATTCTTTTTTACCACCATGTAATTTTGAAAAATTTCATAAAGCCATTTTCTTGCATGAAAAATTGGCAGTGATATTGGTACTCACCTGCATTATGATACAAATATACCCGTTGGATTTATTGCTATGATATTATTGTATTATTTCAATTATTATTTTCCTGATAATGGTTATGTGATCTTCCACATGTGGATATGAACAATAGTAACAAATGAAACACAGGCCACTGATAAAAAATAAATAATAAATACACTTCATGATTGTGAATAATTTGGGGTGGGTAGAAGACTATTCATGCTTGTTAAAAAAAAAAAAAAATATATAT